TTCATCTTCTGCAGATTATAATATCATCTTTTGTCCTGCCCCTGCCTCTAATAACACCAGGTTAGATACACTTCCCCTTCTCATTTAACATGATGATATCAGTTAGTTATAGATAAATCAGACACAAGAAAAAGGCATTATGATAGGGAGTGAAGAAAATATAATCGCTGATTTTTCTATGAATAACCGATATGTCGCTCGTGATTGACATGAGAGGGCTCATTCTAGAAATTCTGAGTTAAAATGTTCAACTGAGAGAGATTATATGGTCTAGTATATTTAACCAAAGGGTAAAAACCTCGGTATAACAGGCTTCTCGACTTGGAGGGTAGGTGTGAGGATCAATTGTACACAACTTTACCCTTACATTTTTGGGAAGAGACTTCATCGATGGGGAATGTCTAACCAAAGGTTAGTAATTGTATTTTGGTTTAGTATGCTAGTGGAAGTCTATGGAAGAGACACTCTAAGGGATAACAGATCACTGTGAACTGTAATAAAGGCATGTAGGTGAAGGTGTGGGGTGTGTGCATAGTAACAGATAAGAGAGTAGAGAATTTATAGTATATATCTGAGAGATTTAACCCTTTATTTATAGGAGAGATTACCTATGGGTGAAGAGTCTTGGTAGAAGTCAGATTGTTGGAGGATATTAGTATAAGGGGTCTCGTAGCTTATCCCTTGTGTATAGGATAGAGGGTTCTATCCCTTGTCTCTTAGGAAGGGTCTTGAACAATACTATTTCCCATACTCGAAACCGTAACCTTCTGGTCAGAAGGAGCAATCTTATCTTTTTAGACAAAACTATGCAACATTAACCACTAAATCACAATTGTGTATGTTTTTAACTATTGGTCAAATAAGTTTAGATCAGTTAAAAAAATTGACCCAACAAATAGAAACTGATGGTCATAAATTTTAAAAGAAAAATTAACGTTGCTTCACATTTTATTAATGTTTTCGTGGGTTTTACAATTTTGAGTTTGAAGAACTGTTAAAAGGGTACTTTCTTCCCTCTCAAAGGTTACTAATTACTATAAATTTCTATAATATAATGTATAGCCCGGGATCGCTGGATCAAAGTGTGAGTGTTGGTGTCTCACTTATTGCTGGCAATGGGACAACTCGGTGGCTTTCTGCTTCAGGCGAATTCGCATTTGGATTTTACCAACTTCCAAATAATGAGCTTTTCTTGTTGGCTATATGGTATGACAAGATACCCAACAAGACCATTATTTGGTATGCAAATGGAGACAACCCTGCTCCAGTAGGATCAAGGTTGGAACTAAATGACTCTCGTGGACTAGTGCTAAGTAGCCCTCAAGGTTCAGAGCTATGGAGATCAGATTTCACATCGGGTACAATTTCCAGTGGTCTAATGAATGATACTGGGAATTTTCTGCTTCAGGACAAAAATTTTGTGACATTATGGGACAGTTTTAGTCATCCTACTGACACATTGGTGCCTACTCAAGTAATGGAGTTAAATGGCAATCTTTCTTCACGGCAAGAAGAGTTCAATTTCTCACGTGGAAGGTTCAAACTTCATCTACAAGAAGATGGGAATCTTGTGCTCAACCTTATGAATTTGCCTTACGAGCCTTACTACAACACTGGCACTGCTGATGCTAAGAATAGTACAAATGTTGGCTTGCGTTTGATATTTGAAAAATCAGGTTTGTTATACATACTGAAAAAAAGTGGGGAGAAGTTTAGTATCTTCAAGCCAAATGAGAGTGTCTCAACTGATAGCTTTTACTACAGAGCAACGATAAATTATGATGGTGTTGTCACCGTAGCATATTACCCCAAAGATCCAAAAAATGGACAAAGCTGGGTCAATGCACAGACTATACCAGAAAACATTTGTAATTCTACATTCACAGATGGTGAAGGTGTTTGCGGGTTTAATAGCATCTGCATCCTCAAAGATGACCTAAGGCCAAACTGTACATGCCCGGAAGGATATTCTCTAATTGATTCAAATAACATGTATGGTGGATGCATACCAAATTTCCAAGTTATTTGTCAAGCAGGTGGGTATAGGGGTTCACAGGATGATCTATACATAATGAAGGAATTGCCAAACACTGATTGGCCTAAATCTGATTATGAAATACTTAGTCCTTCTAGTCTACAAGAATGCACAAAATCTTGTTTGCAAGATTGCTTATGTGTGTTGGTTACTTTTAGTGGAGGTTCTTGCCGGAAGAAGAAGCTCCCACTTTCGTTTGGGAGAAAAGATCAGGGAATAAACGGAACTTCTGTCATGAAATTGATGAAAAATGATGATACTCTCGCCCCTTTCCCAAACCCAAATGGGAAGAAAGATCATGATACTTTGATCATTGTGATATCAGTTCTATTGGGAAGCTCTGTGTTTGTCATTTTAACATTGGTTGGTGCAATATGTTTCGGTTTCTCCTATGACAGCAAGAAGATCAAAAGTAGCAGAACCAACAATACTGTTGTTGACAGGAATTTGCGCAATTTTACCTTCAAGGAACTTGCAGAAGCAACAAGCAACTTCGGAGAAGAACTGGGAAGGGGATCCTTTAGCATTGTCTACAAAGGAACAATAGATATGACTGGTGTGGCTGTTAAGAAATTAGACAAGTTGTTGAAAGACAACGATAAGGAATTTCAGACTGAAGTGAATGTGATAGGCCAAACCCATCATAGGAACCTAGTTCGTCTGCTTGGATATTGCAATGAGGAAGAACACCGGATTCTGGTTTATGAGTTGATGAGCAATGGCACTTTAGCAAGCTTCCTTTTCACTAATTTGAAACCAAATTGGAACCAAAGAGTAGACATTGCCCTTGGGGTTGCAAGAGGGCTTGTTTACTTGCATGAGGAATGTTGCACCCAGATCATCCATTGTGACATAAAGCCACAAAATGTACTTCTAGATGATCAGTACAATGCCAGAATTTCAGATTTTGGGTTAGCAAAGCTATTGTTGATTAATCAAAGCCACACTGAAACCGGAATTAGAGGAACAAAAGGGTATGTTGCACCAGATTGGTTCAGGAGTGGACCTATCACTGCTAAGGTTGATACTTATAGTTTTGGTGTGCTATTACTAGAGATCATTTGCTGTAGGAAAAATGTAGAAAAGGAGTTTGTTAGTGAAGAAAAGGGGATTTTAACTGATTGGGCATATGATTGCTACAGGACTAAAAGTCTAAACATTCTTCTAGAAAACGATTGTGATGCTGTCAATGACATGAAGATTTTGGACAGGTTTGTCATGATTGCTATTTGGTGCATTCAAGAAGATCCCTCTCTTAGGCCAACAATGAAGAAGGTTTTGCTGATGCTAGAAGGAATTGTTGAAGTTGCAATTCCCCCAAGTCCCTACCTTTATGGTTCTGTTAGTTGCAATTGAAAATAGTTTCCTTTGTACGTTTTCTTTTCCTTGGTGTAGCTGCTCGTTTAGTTTTTCTTCAAATTGATTTTTCATGTTACTTAAATAGATATTGAGAGCAATTATTAACAATGAGATGTTGATTAAATTGCACTTACATAATAAAGAGGATCTATGTTTAGCTTTCCATAAACCTTCAAAGTCTTAGTCTTCCATATTATAAACATAATATATAATCTGTTGATCAAATCAAACAACTATTACCATGCCAATTGCATGAAAGAATTCGGTATAAAAAAACTTAGGCTAGACCAATCAATCTACCTATTTCAAAATTCTAACCATAATGGGTTCATGGCTTCGTGCTAGTTGCCTCCATCTCTTAGAGGGGTTTAATATTACTCATGCCTGAAAAAAAATATTAACAGTGACTAACAAAGCACAATATTCATGGAGTTAAATAAACAAGCTGAGAGAAATGTGAGATACATTGGAATGTATTTATATATAGTAACTTTTTATTTTAATCTATCAGCTTTAAAACTTTAAGAACAAAAATCAACTAGAAAAGTCCAAGCTTGAACTTGAAAGGGATTTCTCTTATCTCTGTAATCAAACTTAGTGGCATACAGTAATAGCCCAGTGTAGTGAAAAATTAAGAACAAAAATTGCCGCAGAAATCCAACAATGGGAATGAAACGAACAGAGAGATAGGTAGTGGTACCTTTAACTTCATCACCGACTTCAAGGGTGTCCCACTCCAGAAGGCCTTCCTTTTAGAGCTTCCTCTTCAAGCCTAGAAGCCTAGCTTCCCAATATCCTCGTTCCTTATTTTTTTTTATTTTTTTTGAGGATTCATTTTTGAAGTTTCAAAGATTTCCGATCACAATTCACAACCAAAAAATAATTATATTTTGAGAGATAAAAATGGGTTCTCCAGATTCATTACGGGAGTACCTTACCACAGCGAGTACTCTTCAATTATGGCACATCGAAGTTGTCATTGGGAAACAGTTTCATCCTGCTTCCACATTTCATCAGTGCGTTAGCTTTCGTGTTCCTTTATTTTTTAAATACAGTTTTGGTGTTCTTATAATTTTTTTTATAGGAATTGTATACATTAACTAATAAAAACTACCTAAACCCCTCGTCACTAGCTCATCACAAGGTCAATCCTAGTTGCGCTTTCGTGTTTTTTTTTTTGATAAAAAAGGGAAGGCTAGCCCAGAGAAACTATATTAAAAGTTGTTGCATGTTCAAGGTGACATGCTCTGTCAGCAAATTTGTACATAAAGCATCTCAAACAGTTAAAATGCTAACAGAGGAGAAGGAAAAAACAATAACTTTTCTCCCTGTTGGTTGAATCCTAATTTTGCTAATCCATCTGCACATTCATTTACTTCTCTAGGTAAAAAATTCCAAAGGACTTGATCAAAACCCTGAGCAGCTCTTCTGATTCTGTCAACTAAGTAAGTTAAGCCGCAGCTATCATCTTGATTCTCCACACAAAGGAGAGCTTCTTTGTTGTCACATCCTAGCCAAATCTTTGAGTATTTTCTATCTCCAGCTATCAGTAGATCTTGTAAAATTCCCCATAATTCAGCTTCTAGAGAGGAACAAATCCCTATCTTCAAAGTAAAACCTCCCAACCATTCTCCATATGGTGAGACCATAAAACCCCACACACTCCAATATTGGAATGTAAGTTAACAGCACCGTCAACCCAGATTCTGAGTACATCATGTGCTATGTATTGTCCACTTTCTGTCGAGTTTAAATTTGCAGCTGGCCTTAGCAAAAAAGGATCATTGGAGCTGTTCTTCTTCATATCAGCCAAGTAATTTAGAATTCTGCAAATTGGATCTGGAGGCCAAGAAAATAAAACCTCATGAATAGAGACATTTCTCCACTGCCATAAAAACCAGCATGTTACAAAGAAAACTTCTTTCCAAGAATGCCATAGACTGGTTGAGAAAGGTTTATCCAGATTCAATCTAAACCATTCTAGTCCTTCTTCAGTCATGAAAGTACTAGGGATATTTCCATCAAACCATTTTTCTCATACACTTCTTGCAGCCTTATAATCTCTCAGAGTGTGAAGAATAGTCTCTGGACCTTTGTAACAAATGGGGCATTGAGATTCCCCTCCACTCCAGTGGCATGTAATGTTTCTAACAGGGAGTTTGTTGAGACAAGCCAGCCATAAAAAAACTGCTATCTTGTACGGTCCTCTCCATTTCCAAACAGCACTCCAGATTCTATCTTTTCTGGCATCTGTCTCCATTAAATGACAATAGGCATTCTTCACAAAAGAGTTTCCTAAAATTCTTTTTTTCCAATTCAACCAGTCATCTCGTTCACTCAGATTAGGAGGGGGTATGTTGTTCATTTTCTTTAAAGCATTTTCATCAAGAAACTTCCTCAAATAACACCAGCTCCACTCTCCTGTATTCTGATCTATAACTTCAAATACTTTTAGATCCAGATCAGTGATAGGAGGTTTAATTAAAGCCAGCTCAAAAAGACTTTGCTGCCAACCTCCCAATTCATCCTGCCAGAATAAGGTGTCTTTACCATTGCCTATCACCCATTCTGTATGCTGAGCCATCTTCTCTCTAGCTGTGCAGATGTTCTTCCAAAGAGTTGAGTCACTCCTTTTTGCAATCATGCTTCGTTTGGGGTTCTTCTTTCTGCCATATTTAACAAGCAAGACCTGGACCCAAAGGCTTTTTTGATCATTGGCAATTTGCCAAGCAATTTTCTGCATAAATGCTTCATTTTGGATCCTCAAATTGATGATACCAAGACCTCCACAATCCTTAGGGTAGCACAAGTGATCCCATGCAACATAATGAGCTCTCCTTTTGGACTCAGAGTCTCCCCAAATGAAATTCCGTTGTAACTTCTCATATCCTGGCAGACATGGGCAGGAAGGATATGGTTTTGCATCTGGAAACAGGGAATGGCAGATATGACACTCTTAGCCAAAGAAATTCTGCCTTCCATAGATAAACATTTAAATTTCCACCCTTGCAGTCTGCTTTGCACTCTGGAAATCACATCAGCATAATGATCTCTCTTGGTTCTCCCATGCCTCATCAAAACTCCCAAATATCTACCAAGGTTCCCAACCTTTTTAAAACCACTTACAGTAGATATGGCATCCACTGTATCTTGAGGAGTATTTTTAGAGAAAAAAATACAAGATTTCTCTATACTCACACGCTGTCCAGACATACTAGAGAATTTCTGTAAACAGTTGATGATACTATTTAACTGACTAATAGAGGACTCAACAAATAATAAGATGTCATCAGCAAACATTAAATGGGATACAAGTGGTCAAGATTTACTAGCTTTAATAGGGAGCCAATTCTTCATCTCCACTTCATCCATGATTAGGTGAGTTAGCTTCTCCACACAAAGCACAAAAAGATAAGGGGATAGGGGATCCCCTTGTCTTATTCCCCTTTGAGACTGAAATCCAGGAGTACGGGTCCCATTCCACAGCACCTCAAGAAAAGGGCTTGTTACACATCCCATTATAGCATCAATTATAGCTGCTGGCAGATATAGCTCTTCCAGGACTGATCTTATGAATTTCCAGTTGAGCTTGTCATAAGCTTTTTCTAAATCTATTTTGATTGAGAAAAATTTTTTCCTGCCCTTCATCCTATGCATTGAGTGAATAAGCTCCTGTGCAATTATTATGTTGTCCTGTATATGTCTCTTTGGAACAAAGCTGGTCTGGTTTGAAGATATAATAGTCCCCAAGAGAGGTTTAATTTTATTGGCTAGAATCTTCCTGAGCCCCTTATACAAAGAGTTGCAGAGTGCTATTGGGCTAAACTGCCTCATCAAGCAAGGTCTGTCAGTTTTAGGGATTAGAGCAATCAAAGTCTTGTTGATTTCTCGAATCTGATCTGGATGCTGAAGATAATGCTGCATACTAGAAAAGATTTGAGCTTTAATTAGATCCCAGTTCCTTTGATAGAATAGTGCTGGAAGGCCATCTGGTCCAGGGGCTTTTAGGGGAGGCATTTGAAAAAATGCATTCTTGACTTTCTCAAAGGATATATTCAGAGACAATATATCAAGGTGGCCCTCCTTTATTGTTGGCCAACTATTTTGAGTTTGACTCCATACAGGAACTGCAACATCTTCCTTAAACAGGTTCAAAAAATAACCTCTAGCAAGTGAAACTAATTCCTCTTCTCCAGACACCCATCCACCCTTTTCATTCTGGAGTTTAAGAATTTTATTTCTTTTTCTGTGAATCAGAGTGCTAGTGTGATAGAAACGAGTGTTTCTGTCACCATCTCTAATCCACTCCCCTCTAGATCTCTGATACCAAATTTGCTCCTCTTGGTCTAGGATTTTAGATAGCTCCTTCCTCAACTTAGTTTCTAGCTCTTCAAATTGGACACTGTTTTTGAAACTTAGTTGTCTTTGGATGCCTTCCATACGAGCTATTACTCTATTTTTCCTGTGAAAAGTAAAACCAAAGGTATTCTTGTTCCACTCCTTTAGCAAAGGGATGAATTTCTCCACACTTTCCAGTAGGCTAGTTGAAGAATTCCAATTAGATTTTAGGAACTGGCTAAATCTAGGATCATTTTTCCAAGTTGCCAAAAACCTAAAAGGTCTTTCCCTCCAAACAGAATCCTCTTTCTCCATTCTAATGAGGATTGGGCTATGATCCGAGAATAGCCTAGGAAGAACCAAGACATCAGCCTCCTCAAAACTTGCTCTCCATTCTTCATTTGTAACAGCTCTGTCAAGTCTTTTGTATACTCTATCTAGATGGAGGAATTTAGGTCCTTTCCATGTGAACCTATTGCCTCCACCCCCCAAGTCCAAAACCCCACAAGATTCCAAAACATTGTTAAACCTATTACATCTGTTAACATCCACTAGCCCTCATCCTCTTTTTTCAACAGCATTGGCTATTTCATTAAAGTCACCATATAACATCCAGGGACCATTCATAGTTCTTCCAATTTGCTTCAAATCTTCCCAAAGCTTCAAGCGTTTATCTTCATGAGGGTTTGCATATACAGCAGTCCAACAAAAGCTTGTCTTATCAGGAAACTCTACCCAGCTATGAATAAATTGATCCTACTTCTCAATAAGAGAAATCTTCACATCAATGGGATTCCAAACTAACCAAATCCCTCCAGCAAAACATTTAGCATCAGCTATTATGTAGTTGGAGAATCCCAAGCTACGGATAATGCTAATTGCTTTATTCCCACTTACTCTAGGCTCCAAGATAACAGCTACACCAACATTGTGTTTTTTTTGAAATCTGTTAAAGGTACTCTTAAATTGTTTTTTTTTGCAGTACCTCTACAGTTCCAAGTTAGGACATTCATTGGGAATTTTGGGAGTGTTGCAAGATTACAAAGTTCTTGCTACTTAGATCTAGGCTTTCCACAAAAGATTCTTGAAGACTAGCCTCTCCCTCACCACAATCAGATTCACTAACAATCATAGCAGTGCTCAGATTCGTACATGAAGATAAATCAAACTCTATACCTGTCTTAGCTTCCACCAACTTTACTGCTTCTCCCATATCATGATCAGGGGGATCCGGATCTTGCATGGCCTCATCATCATTCAACTTCCCATCAGAGTGATTAATTGAAGGTTGATCAGTGTTACCATTTCCAGAAGTAGCTTCTACTGCCATCATCAAATCCCCCCACATGTTACCATTCTGCTGCTCAAGAGAAGGCTGAGGCATATTCAAATTAGGCTTTTGTAGAAAAAAGCTATTTCTTACATCATATTTTTCCTGGTCCACATGAATGACACCCTTTCCTTTGGAATTATTAGCCTTAGCATACACTTCCTTTGAGTTTGGCATGGCAGATTTTCCACCTGAAGCTTTCTTTGCAGTGTTAGAAGCCACTGCTGTGAACTCTATCCCCCCAGCTAGGGTCTGGCTTTTGTTAGTCACCAAATCATTCTCCTTATTCACCTTGGCATTAGAGGTACCAGAACCAAAAATTTTTCCAGAGCTATTCTTCAGGCTAGCTTTTTCATTTTTCAAAACTATCTTTGGGTCAGCTGAATTTTTCCTGTTAGAGATATCCTCTCCAAATGATCTGTTGCTGCTCATATTCGATTTCTGGAAATTTTGGGGACCTTTCTTTCTTCTTTGAACCACCATCCAAGCTCCTACCCCTTGAGGTCCAGCATTCACCACTGGTTGTACCTGCACCTCTTCAGCTTTGGATGTCGTAGTTGTCTTAACAAAATCAGGACAAGAGTCCGAATTATGGCCATATCTTCCACACTTTAGACAAATTAAAAATAGCCCCTCATATTCGACTCTCTTTTTGCATCCATTAAGGATATACTCTCCTTTCAATGGCTGTGAAAGATCATTTTCTATGCAAACTCGTGCAAACCGAGCTTTGTCCCCAGTAGAAGTGGTTTTATCCACTTTTAGAACTTTTCCTATCACTGTTCCCAGATGATTAAGAAACGAAAATTCACAATATTCTTGTGGAATACCTGGTAAACGGATCCATGCGGCTACCTTGTGGATATTAGCTTTTTCCGGATCGAAGCATGGCTCCCATTTTCTAGTTGCAAGGTAATGGCCAAGAATGACCCAGGGACCACCCGTAATGGCTAGGTTTAGGTCTTCCAAGCTGCTGAACCTCACTGAAAAAACTCATTCCCCAAGTCCGCCACTATTATGTTTCCAGCCTTAGCCCACATAGACTCAAGTCTTTTCTTCATGAATCTGACCCCAATCTTCTTCCCCAACAGCTTTACAATCAGTGCATTATTCCATCGCTGACGCATTCTTGCTCGAGCTTCTTTGTTGCTCCTTATTTCCACAGATCTGTCCTCCCTTACAACTGTTTGGAATCCCCATTCTGTGATCTCTCCCAATCTTGGGTCCAGAGGGTCCAGATCTGGTTCTTCCTCCTCATGTATCTAGGGTATGGCATCTCCAGAAACACCATTCTCCACCCCCATTACATCTGCAAACGATCTCTGTTTTTCGATTCCCGGAGATCCAGCTTGATACTCCTTCAGAACTTCTCGCATCCTTACTTCCGTTGGAATTTCTTCTCCATTCTTTGTACGCTTAGTGCTTCTTCTCGACATGGACAGTAGTTCAGAGTTGTTAGCTATCGTATCCCTCATTGAAAACCTCGATGAAAAATTGGTTGAAAGAACCCTAGCAGAGAGGAAATTTTCACGCGCGTGAGATTACGCGCCTAACCCATCCTTTTTCCTTATAGTTTCTTTGCTTTCGTGTTCTTTTTAAACCTTACGATTTTGGGTTTTTATTAATCCAATGCAAAATTAGATATATTTTATGGGGATGTTATACTTACTATTTTTCTTCTTCTTACTACTGCATACTATCAAATGTTAACCATTTATTTTCGTCAATCTAACGGTTATAATTTATTTGGTCAAGCTTATAATTAATTATTAATTTTCAATAAATTATAACCATTAGATTGACGGAAATCAACGGTTAAATTTGATAGTAAAAGGTAGTAAGAAAAAAACATAGTAGATATAACATTTTCCATATTTTATTAGTTTTTTTTGTCTAACTATTTACTAATTTAATGTGAAAAGAGGTATATTCTGACAGTGCATCATTGCATTACTTGTGTAACTACAATATACATATCATTTTGTGTGCGTTCAAGTCGCGCACGTCACCTGTGATGAGCGTGACATGTGGCTGGTGCATAGGGTTTTATATAAGTTATGCATGAGGTGATACACGACTTGTATGCATACTGTTAGGATATGCATATTTTTGAATTAGATTAAAAAATATGCTAAAGGAATTAATCGAGTAATATTTTTCTAATTTTACATTGTATTAATCAAAAAACCTAAGATTTCTATGTTATAAGGTTACCATTGTGTTTGGGTAGTATAGATCAGATGATCAAGACTGAGAACAGTTGATTTTAGTTTTCTTTTGTATTCTATTCCTTAAATATTGAATTTTAAGTAATCAATCCTTCAAACAAAGAAAAGACTAAATGAATTGAAATTATATTCAGATTTGTATTCAACAAAAATAACAGAAATATCTAATCAACAAATGCAGCAATTATAAGGTACTGAAATTCTTGAATCATGTATTTTTCAAAGAAATTCGCATTCCTGCGTTTTACCACTGCTAAGGCACTTTAATTACAGAATTTGAACTACTATGGCTATTTTAGCTGGAACTTCCCAGTTCCAGATTTGTTCCTTAGAAGGATATTTTCCCAAAGTCTTATAAATCTTCAAGAATTATATCAAATACTTCATTGGGTTATCCCTAACCTCAAGGGTTTAATTAGCAAAAGAACATAACCTGATTTTCCAATCACAATTATGCTAAAAATATTCTAAGATCCATTCCCATGGTTTTCTTGAAATTAAAATTGAAAGATTGCTAATTAAATGAAACTAAAGAAAGCATCACAATGTTAATAAAAATAAGAGAATCATCCAATCATCTTGAATCCCAAAAAAGAGGAAAATTAGCTAGCCATTTCAAAGAACAAATTTAAAGATTCTAAAATTGAAGTAACATGCATTACCGAATACGAAAAAAAGAAAAGAGTTTATGTACAGACCAATTATCCAGAATTACAGTGTTCAGAAAAATATAAAAACTTAGACTAGGGAAATGTAGAAGTAGAGCTTGCATGTAGTTGAGTCTTGGATCCCTCCAAGAAAGGAGTTTCGCGCTTGCTCTTGATGTGAGAACTTGAAGAACAGAAAGAAAACTTAAGAAAAGTTCAAGAATCCAAAAGTGAAGTCTGCAAACTAAAAAAAACAAAAATTCTCTCTAAGTGGCTCTAATGACTCAGACTCCCATTTAACTAAAAACTAAAGAGCTCCCCAAAATGCATTATTGTCCTTCAGATTAATCAGCATCCTACGGTTTAGATTTCTTTCAACTCAGCCAATTGTTCGCGTGCTCTTAATTCCTGCAATGGAGTGGTAACAACGGTAAGTAGATTTATCTAAATCTCCTCTCTTTTTACACTTACCTTCATGGGATGATTTCCCTACCTTTTGGGTCTTTCACCTGATTTAATAATTCTTTCACAGCCCAATAGGAAGTACAATATAGGTAAATATAGGTGTTTAAACAATCCAATTTTACACCTAACACATTGGTACAAGTATCATTTTGTCAATTTTTTATTTTTTATATTTTTTTTTACCAAAAACGTGATATCCTCTACTCAAACTCATTATTCTATTCTTAACATAAATAAAAAACTAACCATGTATGGTATCAACTCTACTTTAAACAAAGAATAAATATTGAAAACAACACCATACTACGTCAATAGGCTCATAGCCTATAAATCAATCGGTACAAATCACACCGCATGACATATTTAACCTTTTAGCATAGAAATCAAATTCCAATTGATGAAAAAAAATGAATAGCTATAAAATGGTCTATTCAAAATTTAATAACACAACATGGTTAACTATGGATGCTCAACTAGCAAGCAAAACACAATATTTCTATGTTTTAACAAGTGAATTTTAAATCATGGATTATACAATTTATGAGTTATAGGTTGTACATAAAGAAAAAAAAATCCCCTTTGGGAGAGTTAGTGTAACAACCATTCATGACCAATTTGTTAACATTATATATGATATTAAGCGCA